CGATTTTGTCAAAAGTCCCTCTCGGCGTGCAGTAGTCGATGTCGCTCGCTCGCGATTCCCAGTCCAATTTAGGCCTCTCCTCCGCATTCTGAGTGCCTTGGGCGGATCTGGCTTCAAAAAATCCGATCCATTGATCAGCGTGGACTACAGGCAGGCCGACAACGCATTGGCTGAAGAACGCGCTATATGTGCCCAGCACGTATCGTTCTTCTTCGATATGCTGACGACATACACCCAAGTGATACCGTTGAGTGCATGCACTGGCGCACATGCACTGTATGAGAAAGTGCCAGAGCGTTACGGCTCGTCTTCGAAGTCTTCTGGACCTACATACGTCAATCTACGACCCATCAAACTACCTGGTGGTAGCGTCCTCCCTCCCAAGTCGACAGGCCGTTTGCTCAGTCAGGATCGGGAGGATTACATCATCGTCGCCTGGCAACACGAGCACTCTGGGTGGAGGCTCGTCGTGGAGGTACTCGTTGACTATGTCCAGCGTCGACGCCTCTTACCACGGGTGTCGCAATATGTTGCATCAGAGCCGCCCGCCAACCGTCGCACAACCTCACAGCCGCCTGTCACCCTGCAGTTGGACGATATCGGGGTAGAGTTTGACGCGGATGGCGATCCTCATGTTGTAGCCGATGCGCTCGATTTGCTATGTAGCGTCATCAAGGACAATGCGGCGCTAGCAGCACAGGTCTTGGACTCCGTGGAGAACAACGAGGACTTGCAAGGAGGAGGAGCAGAGCCCCCTCACTTGGTCCAGTTGACTATGCTAGTCCTGGAAGATGCCTTATCCCGTTCTGCCGCCCAGCCTCGCAAGCCTCCACCATCGCACCTAATCACCTCGGCGATGAACTTGCTTTCAGGTCTGCTCTCTCTCCCGGGATATGCACATCACGTCTGGCTCTTTGCGCGAGCTTCAACGTCGCTCTTCGATACCAGTCGGAACGGTGGAAGCGCTTCTGCTGTCCTTGCAGCAGAGCGGGCGCTTGGGTCGTACTTCACAACGCGTGCACTCCTAGACTTCGTTCAAAGTCTCTTCAACGAAGCCTCTGCATCGGTGCTACTGCCTGCTCCTGCGAAGGAGCGGCTACAAGAGCTGAAGGAAGAGGTCCTTCTCCGTGCCCTCCGTTTCGTGCACGCGGAAATCTGGATGGAGCACACGGGATGGAAGTATTCTCAGTTGGGCACTCGATTCGAGGTGGGAAGGGTTGTATCAACATTGTATGGGGACATTCTCGAACACGCGCCCCCGACCTCCACAGGGCCGTTGTCCACGATCAGCAGAGCAGTGTTTGACGCACTGGTGTCTAAGGCCACAACGCCAAGCATTGGCCCCCTCATCGCTGTTGTGACGACGTATCGAGCGGTCCTTCATCGCATCTATGCCTCCCGCCGCCTCGGTGACCTAAAAGGTCTATACTTGGTCTTGCGTTCTCACCTTCGAGTAATGCGCTTATGCTTAACGTACAAGCAAAGGCTGCATGGTGATTCGGGTCCATGTTTGCTGGAGCAGGCGTTGTGCGCAAGGGCAGGCACCGATGGAGGCTCGTTCAACGGTGGTCATTATCAGGCAGATCCTTTGGACGTCTTATCCAGCTTTGTCGGGATTGCCAACACGAGTTCAGAGGTCCCCTTGGAAGCGATCCATGTGTTGTACGCCCTCTGCACATCTCTCGCCACATCGCAACCATCCGCTCCCACGATTGTTGGTCACCTGTCCGATCCAGAAGCCACTGTCGCAGCTCTAGTCCGGGTTGCGCAACATCCTTATCAAGAGCAAGATGTACGATTGTCGGTATGGCGCTTCATGGCGGTATCGGTAGAGAAGGAACCTGCCTTGGGTCATCTGTTCATCGCAGGACAATTTCGGACGACAGATTCCAAGGTCCGGGACGGTGCTCCTTCAGGCTCATCGGACGGCAAAAAGAAAGAGAACACCAGTGCCCTGGGTGCCGCTCGCGAGATGATAGCGAACTGGCAGAGCTATTGGGAGATCAACCCCATGCTATTGGCGGGCATCCTCGAGTTCCTGTACGCCGTCTGGGCACGAGGGTTGGAGCACGAAACCATGATCGAGTCCATTCGGAAGGACGGGGAGTTCTGGGCTCTGCTCGCAGAAGTCGCTCTCCAAGATTTGTCGCCTGCACCAGAGTACAAAAGTACCGAATTCATTGACGAAGGAGGCATCGTTCGATCCGCATTCCACGACAGTATCTCAACGCATGCATACCAAACACTCTCTAAAGCTTACGCGACCCGTATTATCGCTCTGGACATTGCCATGACCCAGCCGACTTCCACATCCAAACAAAAGCGTCCGCCGAGCTTCGAATGCATAGCGGAGACATTCAAGTCGGAGGACCAGCTTGCTGACCTCCTTCACGAAGCAATCTCGAATGTGTACGACCCAGCACTCTACGACGAATTCACCGCGACGGCTGGCGCATACTTCCCGGATCTCGTTCTCTCCCAATACGAGTCACGCAGTCTCCTGGGCGAACGCGAATTCGGCGATGATTTCGAATTTGCGGTGGGCGTTCTGCAGATCCGCATGCGGCCGTTCCACTTTTTCAATCCAGAGTTGGCTTCCAACGCTGACGAATTGGTCCACACTTTGTTCTCCATCAACCAAAATCTTTCACTTGCCCATGCGTCTACAGAGCTCAGCCAGGCGTGGTACACTCTCTTGTTGAAGGTTGCGCCGTTCCTCCAAGGAGATGAGTCCTCTCGTCCTCGTTTACTAGCCCTGGCGGCCACGATTTCTAGCAGCTTGGCAGAAGAGAAGCGGTCAGGGGACCTCATATCAACGGTGCATGGAGTGCGGTTATCAATTCTGCTGGCGCTGCTAGAACTAATATGGTTCTCGAGCGAAGAGACTGCGGAGGACACGGAGAACTTCATGAAGGTAGTAGCCAACGTCCATGACATCATCACCAACGAAGCCCAATCACCTATTAATTCTGTCCGTGGTGCCTCTGCAGCTCCTTTCCATCGAACGCTCCTCCAAATCATCTACTTTTGCATCCGGCAATGTAGGAAACTTGCTGCCAGACCGAAGAAGTCGATTTCAGCCGACCAAAGGCTCACAGTCACATCCGCGATCGATACCGCTCTAATTTTCGTCATTGACTCCCTCCGCTTTGTTTTTGACGCAGCCCGAGGAGGACCAGATCCTGATCTTGACCTGGACATGGAACTTCTGGTTGCCGTCTTCGAGCAATGCACGCAAATTGATATCAACCCGTCTACCTCCCTCTGGCTGACAAGATGCCAAGAGACGAGCGTCCTGCGCGCAAGCCTAGAGCTCTTCGTACAGGCGGACTTGACGGGCTTATCTACACTCGCATTATCGAGATCCCGGAAACAGGCTCTGTACGCGCCGCACATTCTCACCTTCCACATCGCATTCGCCAGCATTCAACTCCCTGCTGAGCGCCTTGCCAGCGAAGGTGTGCTCGTGGCATACAGCAACAGCAGCATCACTGCCGCAGTCCAGTCCGGCTCGGTGGACGTCACGCTTCCAGAATTACCTGGTGAGCGGAGCCCTGCGCACCGCGCGTACTGTGTCATGCTTTCCGTCGTTGCAGGCGTGATCAGCGCGCTCGGAGTACAGAAGCACTTCTTCGACGCAGAGGCGAGCGGATTTGTACAGCTCTTCGGAAGCCAGATCGCGCGGACGCTAGCCTGGACGATTGGTGACGCGCTGACGCTGCCGTTCGTGGAGGAGATGGAGCGCGTCGTTGGCCTCTTCTACGCAATAGCGTCGACCGCGCCGCCGGAGGGGCATAGAAATCCGGCGACGGAGACGGTGCTGGCGGCTTTTACCTCAAACGCGCTGCTCCTGCTGCAACAGCTGAATTACGCACTGTCGCACCCGAACCACCTCGCGAGCCTGGTGGAGCCCGTGACAGCAGAAGAGCGCACACAGCTTGAGAAGGACGCCCGGGGGTCGTCTGCACGCTCCGTTGCGGCGGAGGTCGTGGACCCCACCACGCGTCCATTTCTCGCGCGTCTTGTGCACAGGCTATATGGGATCACGAGCAACATCGTGCAGACGCTCATAATCATCAGCGCCGCGGACTCAGTGTTAAAAGGCGAGGCGGAGGACCTGCCCACGCGTTTCGCACTCGTCGTTCCAGTGAGTGTTCTTTACGTTTCTCCTACTCAATGTTGACCACGTTTCTTTCAGCACTCAAAAGTTGTTCTCGGAGAGCCAGCATCCATGGGCACGCTCTTGGAGCTTGCGAGCGGCGCGCTCGACGTGTTGGGGCACCTTGCTTCGCGGCCCGCCGGGCAAGCCATCACCACTCCTTCCCCCTCCGACCGTGCGCTCGACGTGCGCGCGGCCGTCATTACTGCGCGGCGGACGCTCGAGACAGTGCTCTTCTATGCGGCTACGCAACTCGGTACGTGGCTTGCGAGGCCGGCACTGTTGGATTCCGGCACAGCCGCGGGCGACGCAGAGATGGACGCGGAGGAGAGCCGGGGCGCGTTGCGGAGGGATTCGGCGGCGCTGACGGAGCGGATGCGGAGGGGCCTGACTGGCGAGATGGCGAGTGAGCTGAAGGCGACGCTTGAGAAAGCGCGGGGCGTGCTGGAGAGGTGTCGGGAGGTGGAGGGGCCGGGGGCTGGCGTTGATGTGACAAAAGTTCTGATAGGATTTCTCAATGAGCGGGTAATTAACGCTGCGTGATGTATGGTAATCGTCTATGTATTGCAGCGAGATCGGTGTTTGTAGACAAACCTCTCGCGATCGTGTCGGGTTCCCAAAAGGCTATTTTTTCCTCGGCAGTGATCGTGCCCTCCAAATAGGAGATCGTCAGAGTCAAGGGATGCACAGAGACAAAGCTTGTTCGAATTGTTGCCTTGCAATAAGAATGACCGGGTACGCCTGGGGCACCGGAGTTGTCGTCGTTTGGTCGTAGTACGCCAAATTCTATCCAGTGAACTCTCTGCGACTCATCAAGTACTTTGTCACGAAATTTAATCATGTCGCTTTGCCGGAGTGGTTAACGGGATCGCCTGCTATTGCGCGAGACTTCTTACGCAAGCAAAGCGGTTGGGCTTTGCCCGCCTGTGTTCGAATCGCAGAGGCGACGCTTTTTATCGTACAAATCCTGCAGCCTTTCGCCATGGGGTTAGTTGTCGAGTATCGGCACTGAGTCAGGACGGACGACGGGATATCGTCGTACGTATCGACCTTTCTCGCCGATCTAGAGCTGATTGCTCTTGTATCTTGAATTGTCCATTTTAGATCATGAGTTTGCACTCTGTCTGGCTGGACTGCGACCCGGTATGTCGTGACCTTTCATTTGCTCAACATTTCTAACGTGCTATGTCGTTCCTTCAATGGCAACGACTAGGGACACGATGACGCTACCGCAATCCTGTTAGCTCTACATTGTCGTAATATCCACCTCCTCGGCGTTTCTACTGTACATTCATCTCTGTTCTGCTTTCTTTTCGGACCTTACTGTTTGGTGCCAGGTTCACGGAAATTCTGATGCTCAAAGCACCCTGCTCAACGCAGCGCGATGCCTGCAAGCCTTCGCCGCACCAGAGTCCGTCAAAGTCTATCCAGGCGCGTCGAAGCCCATCCTCCGCTCTGCCCAGCACGCCCCAGAGATCCATGGTGTCGATGGTCTGGGTGGCGTGGAGGGTTTACCTCCTTTGTCAGACGAAGGTGTACTTGCAAGAATAGTCACATCGTCCAAAGCCATCGAGGCTATAGCCGACGCGCTCCGAAAGACTTGGATGGACGGCGCAGGCTCCAAGATTTCGATCATCGCATCGGGCCCTCTGACTAACGTCGCGCTCTTTCTGAGCGTCTACCCAGAGCTTTCCGACGGTATCGAGCAGATTGTCTTCATGGGGGGCGGCGTCGGCGTCGGGAACCGCACCGCGGTCGCAGGTTCGTCCCCGTACCTTAGAGTAACTTGAGATTTAACCAACTTGCGGTGTAGAATTCAACATCCTTTGTGATCGTAAGTGGGGATGAATCTGTTCGGTCGCATAGCTGTCTGATTCCCCTACAGCCGAGGCCGCGCAGATCGTACTGGACACGCCCGTGCCCAAGACGATGGTCCCGCTCAACGTGACCCACCAAGCCATCGTGACCCCCGCGATCCAAGCCCGCCTCGTCGCCACTCCGACACCCCTGCGCCATACCCTGTCCACCCTCATTCGGTTCTTCGAAGACGCGTACAAGGCAACATTCGGGTTCGACGATGGCCCACCGCTGCACGATGCGCTGACCGTCGCGTACGTGTCATGCCCGGAGCTGTTCAAGTGCAAGCGATACCGGGTAGACGTAGAACTGGAGGGGAAGCATACCGTCGGGGAGACCATCGCAGATATCTGGGACTATCGTCGAGCCGATGATACATGGGGTCCGACAGGGAAGAACAGCCTCGTAGCACTGGAGCTCGATGTGCGTAACATCCCCTGTCAGACCATCCACGTTTGACGTCCTCTCCCGTAGGTCCCTGCGTTCTTCGATCTCCTTCTGGATTGCGTCGCCAAGTGCGATGCAGTATCGCCATTAAATCGTGCCAAAGCCTAGATGCATACGGAATTGATACTTGCATCGTCGTTCGTCGGATCGCAGAAGTCGTCGCTAAAGCATATATTGGTAGAAGTTCTCAGAACAACCCGAAGTCGTGCACATGTATATCCATTTAGATGATGAGTATTTGTCCAAAGAATGTAGAAAGTGTCGTGGTCCATCCGCCTACTCGAACAGCCTACTCTGTGGCCTCCCGCCATCGATGAATATCTTGCTGAGTGGCCGTCGGTCGTGTCGTGGCCGCCGCTTGCCATCGCGCATGCTACGAATCGTCTGATCGAGAGCACCACGTCCGATTGAAAGCGATCCAGCAGCACGTCCTTGAGAGCTGGAGGCGGATGGTGGCGCCAGAGATTGCGCATCGTGGCTCCCCTTGATGGTCTAAGTAAATAACGTACGCTGAGCTCGAGCCGAGCTGCAAAAGTGGGAACATGACACTGACTGGTTCCGAAGGCGGCTCCTCCTTCGACTGTTGCACAGCAATAGCAGGCGGTTTGGATTGTTGCTTCTCTTCGACGTCGTGTACCTCCAGGGCAGCTTTCTATGGGTAACTCTTAGAGTCAGACAGATTGGATGGGATCGCAATCACGTACCTGAAGGGAGGACGAGAATGTCAAGATCAACGCGAAGAAGTCTTCCGGTTTTGGGGCCTCGGGTGAGTCGGGGTCCTCGCCATAATATGCAAGAAGGGCACGGAGATCGACTTCGAGAGCAGATCCCATATTCTTCATGGCGTCGATGACAGGGGTTTGCTGCACTAAGAAGGGCTGCATAACATCGCCCGTAAGTCACGAAGCCACATTCGGGTCGAAGGGATGATTACTCACCCCTATAACTTGGACAAATCGGTCGCCAGCTACGGTTTGAGCTCGACTGCGATTCACCTCCTCGCGGACTTGTGTAAGGCCGTTCATGAGAGCCGTGAGAGAAGTGACCAATGTTGGCACAGAGACTGTGGGTGCAATTCCTCGTAAATGCAGTAATCTATCAGCAATGGTAGACAGCTTACCACGCGCAGCTGCTTCCATGTGAGGCATATCCTCAAGAAATGTCACCAGCGCCGGATCGCTCCGCAGGAGGATCCGAGCAAGGTAATGTAGGAGAGTTGGGCACTCCGGACCTCCCTTGACCGTCTTGGTCTCTCGCAACTATGAAGGATGGTTCAGATCTCATAAGCCATCAAGAGAGGATATTCGCAACCTTCAACAAAGCCTCCAGTCTGAAGCCGCGGGCACCGCCACGGAAGCTGGAACCGTTGAGAGCATTACCCACAGTAAGGACGGCCTGGAAACTGTCAGGATAGGCCTCGCACTGGAGGAGTGATCTCACCTGTAGAACACGCTTGAACCTAGTTGATGACCTCAACTCCTTCGACGCGTTATGAAGAATATCCAGCTCCGGCCGAATTTCTTCGATGTCCAACTCGAGCCGTCTACGGTAGATCATGCACTTCAACCGCTCAGGCAGTCTAGGAATATTCATGATCTACACGGCGAGTGGCTCAGGATAGATACATGGCGTAATGACCGGGATACAACACTCACCTGATAGAAGAATTGATCCGCTTTGGCAAGCTTGGCTACGTCATCAAAGTCTTTCAATCTTGATATTTCTTCAGCCGTTGGTGTCTGCCTCTCAATTGCCTTCAAGTCATCTACGCTGAGTTTTTCGTCATCTAGATCAAGTAGAGCCTTCCGGATATCACTGGGGCCCATCTTGATTCTTGACAGCATGATCGCTGTACAACTAGATGAGCTTGACAGACGATATGTATGCCGTCGGTACTCACCAACATTGTTCGCGCGAGTGATGTCCAACAGGGTTGTGACAGACTGTCTCTTGATCGGATTTGCACGAAGCTGTGACGGGGTCGAAGGCGTGCTGTCAAGCGAAAAAGTGGACTCTAAGTCATCCATGGGGAACGAAACATCCAGCGGAACGTCATTCCAGACTGTAGCTGTCAAAACGGGAGCTTGCAACTTGTTCCAGAAGAATGGCCTCAACCGTTTCGCGGGCACAATCTTGCGCGGTTTATTGAGGCGGAAGGCGGAAGGCGGCGGAGGTGCCGGAGGGGGAGGTGCTCGACCCGGTGGTCCAGGAGGTGGAGACGGCGGCGGTGGCGGTGGCGCCATCCCGGGTGGTCCAGGAGGTGGGGGCG